CGTAGAAACCATGGGCCTAATGGCCCAGAACTCGACGCACCATCACCTAAGCCAGTGCAGATGAGTGATCTGATACTCAGATCGAGTACTCGACCTGGCTCATCCTCGTAGCAGGTGTAAGCGGTAGTTACTTGTTCACTATTGACCCTGCACCTTCTAGAGTCAGGGGGTATTTGGAACGGTCACCAGTATGATCCTAAAACCTCTAACACTCGATGTCCCATAAATCCCCCAATACCCGGACGAGCTCAAAGTACCTTCTTTCAGTGGATGTTTGCCCCTTTGTGGAAAACCGTAAAACTAGTTGGCCCATGGCTGTAACCAAAGTACGAGCTCCTGGAATATGGAAAAAGAGTTTCATGACGTGCCCCTGCTGGTCAGGCTTTGTCCTGCCGCTTTCTTTCAGTGATAGCGGACGTTCACTCATTCTACCCGTTACTAGCTCGAAGAGTAATATGCGCAACTGCCCATAGCTGCTCACGCGTTCGTTACTTGCCCACAGTGGTTTCGTACCGGGGCATTGTTATTGGCCTCAAGGCTCCGAGACAATGTCCTCGCTCTTCCCTCTAATGAGGCTCACGAAAATTTGGATCGCGTTACTTAACGGGTCTCGAAGAAAAACGTGACGCCCTGACGCCCTTAGTGTTTATTAGTAGACGATTTGTATCAGATCACCCTAAAAACTAATTGGCTTAGTAAAGTGTGGGTAATGGACGTGCACCGACCCCATCCTCATTACTGTTTTACTATTAGGACTTAATGATGCGCAACCACTAGTTATATGCCGGAATACGTCGGGAACCAACTTCTCGAGTACAGCGGTGTTTTCTCCCTAACCTGGTGCCTACGGCATCCTGGGAGCTACGCTTCCGGTTATCGAGCATCACCACCCGAACGTGACGTTGACAACATCCCGAGGGCTACGCCCAGGAAACCATGTTTCCCGATATGGGGTGTACCACCTGAGCCAGGCGCTTACAACTGCCGAGGAACTATGTTCCTTGATGTACGGTGTACCAACGCCCCACTCAATATTTAAAGAAGATTCTCGCTACTCGAGAAATGCTCTTGGTACTTGAACGGCAATATGCTGGCTCCCCAATACTTGGGAATATCAAGTTGCACTGCTCGAAACTTCGGCATCCGAAGATGCTCATTGGTATTTACAGTACACAGAACCTACAGGGAAGACTATGACATCCCGAGGACTAAAAGTTGTGTGCTAGCTTATCATTAAGTCCTACGGGGGCTACTGTCATAGATATGGGCCGTGGTACCTGCATTGCCCGTATATATGACTATCACCCAGCTATCGGCCCAACAGCTGTCAAAGAGGAGGCCTGTGAGGACTGACGTGATCAATCAATGTGGAGGTCAAGGCAAATCAAGGCGGACGTATCTGGACGATAGCTAGGATCGATCTGTTGTGTGGAGTGTGTAACAAACTAGGAACATGATCTATTAGCCCGATCACCCTCTCTATAACCCTACCTCTCCTACCTATATAAAGGATGATAGGGACCTTGGGGTTGGGATCCACGATCATCCGCCGATCAAAACTACCTCATAGCTAGGAGCAACAACCCCTATAATTGAGTATACGAATACAAGAGCAGCAGCGCCACTAGAGTAGGGATTAGCGCGCACCGCGCCCTGAACTAATATAAATCCTTGTGTCTCGTGTACTACCATCTAAATCCGTCTACGCGATCACGTTGCTAGGCATTGCCGGAGCTAACTAATCCGACACGAGTCGTGTTGTGCCTCTTCTAGTGTGAGCATCTACTAGGGCATGTAGTACCAACCATAACCTAGTAGATGAGGGACTACTGTTGGGACATGCCATATTCATATGGGCCAAGTCTCCTAGAAGAGGCCCAACTAGCGCCATTAGAGTGGCATGCAAAACCCAAACCCATCGAGAGGTCGCTTGTAAATTTTTGCTTGCCTATATAATGCCAAGAACGTGAGGGCAAGGGGGGGCTCTCCCTTCGACTCTTGTCAACCAACTCTAGCCACCTCTTTCCACTCTCCTCTTCTAAACCTGCTCAAGAACCGTTTTCCCAACAGGTTTCAACTAAATACATATTAAAAATTTCATAGAGATACAACACAATGACGAAACACATACAAAGTAATTGACATATTTATCATAATCATATAAAGATTATAGGAAATCTATATCAGTGTATATCAGGAAATAAATAAGGAGAGAAAGTAAAAACAATCAAATTTCATAAGTTGTAGGTATCCACGAAACTTTTAATATTTCTACCATAACGTTCTAGCCGATGCTGGAGCATGGATTGATGTGCTATTAGATGCTAATAAATGTTAAAATCCATAGCATCACGGACAGATTTAGAGTGGCGAGCAAGAGGGGGTTTATCTTCCTCACTTCTTCATCCCCATGTTCTTTTTCTTCTTCTTCATCCTCTCTCTTTTCTTGTTTTTTTTTGGTATGTCGTTGTTGCAGGGTCTCAAGCCCCCGTGCAACATGTCGGATCATCCGGCTGTTCACGCTTTTAAATTCACTGCAATATGTCACCCACCTGTTTGCGCACAGAGCACCTCACGAGGGAGGACATGGAAAAGCTTTGGCGACAAGAGGAGCAGGGCGAAAGATGCGGGTGGACTGCACTGGCTAATCATACGGATGACAGCTAGAGCGGCCCATCTCGAGCAGCATTATCGTTCATGAATATGGATGTGTTCCTAAATAATTATCGTTTTTTTCGTGCTATAAATTTGACTAGATTTATAGAAAACATGTGCAATATTTGTATCTCCAAATAAATTTATTATAAAAACCATTTAATGATCTATCTAATGATATATTAATTATATACCATAAATATTAATATTTTTATATAAAATTACACAGTGTTATTTTTCAGAAAGCGAGGACGATAATTATTTAGAGGCTGAGGAGTAGTAATCAATTAGGTGCCCATGGATACCGGTTGATTTGGCCCTGTACCCTGTCTATTTTTTCGCATGGACAATCGACAACCAACAAGAATAAATGGATCTATTGGACTCCACACAAGCAGTCCTCTTTGTAATCCCTGTGTTTCATTATATTATTACTTACCCTGCCATCGAGAATACGTTTCAGAATATTTAGTCAAAATGGGCATCTTGATTTTACTATAGATCTTAAAAACTCTCACAATATGATTACAAACATCCATCTACATTATAAAAAATACTAACTCAATTATAAAAATTCACAAAGTATCCCCTAAATTTGCATCTAAATTAGCCGCCTATACTACTACAAAAGATAATATAAAATAATAATCTAAATTTGTATCTAAATTATCCATATCTATTGTTTTTGAAGGCACTAATCCATATCTGTAGTTATGAAAGACAATTTAAAACAAACCCCAAATTTTGCATATAAATTACCACCTCCGTCACTATAAAGATAAATGTAAAGTAAATCCTAAGTTTGCATTCAAATTACCCACTACGTCATTATGAATGAAAGATAATACAAATTAATACCTTTAACTTGTATCAAAATTATCCACCTATGGCATTATAAAAAAAAGTACATTATATACTCCATTGGAAAATAGTTCACTTTATATTGCATTAATACTCCATAACAATAATTTTTATAATTTTTTATTTTCAATAATTTTATACATTTTAACTGAAATATTATGCCATCAATACTAGTAATTTAATTTTAGGACTATGATTTCAAAACATTACTACTACACATATAACTCTTCAATATAGCTGATTCAACATCTTGAGTTTGGCGGCACAGGTTGAACTGTTGTTTTGTTATTGTAGTAATTAACTATGAGTATTGTCGTAGCCCTAAGACTTCTGCAACAGGCAATTTGGAGTAACATGCACCATTCCATCTTTCATTTTCAATTGCATAGGGACATTCCATACATACACTACAAGGTTTTACCCCTGATGCAACGGCCTAAAAGCGTTGCAATATAATAAAAATGGTTGCGATAGACAAAATTGCAACACTTTTTTTTCGTTGGCAGGCGTTGCCATAGTAACCATGGCAAAAGGTTTGCCCAACGACTCATTTTGGTGTTGCAATCATGGTTTCCTTTATCGGCCGAAATCTCCCGATATTTCCGATATATCTTGTTTATCCGTAGGTGCCGATAAGAAATAATCTATCTTTTTCATATAAATTTTATTTAAATTTATTTAAATTTACTTAAATTCAAATTAAATTTTATTTGAATTTGTTCCGATATTTTCGATATATCCTGTTTATCCTCTTTATCTATTACCCCCGATAAATTTTAATTTCCGAAAATGAAAACCTTGGTTGCAATAGGTTTCCCCCTATTGCAACACCAAGGAGTGTTGTTGCAACGCCATGTAGTGTTGCAACCCATAGTATAGGCAACCATCATGGGTGTTGCAACACCCCCGGTGTTGCCAGAAATACCTATTGCCACGTACCCAAAGCGTGGCAATAGGTGCACTAGCAACGACAATGGGTGTTGCAATAGACCTTATTGCCACGCATCAATAACATTGCAATAGATGGACCCTCTATTGCCACGCTATCTCAGTGGTTGCTATAGGTGGAACCCTCTATTGCCATGATAAATATCTGATTGCTAGAGGTAGCCTCTCTATTGCCACACTAAACATTGTGGTTACTATAGGTGCATCCGTCTATTGCCACAATAAATGTTTGGTTGCTAAAGGTTACCTCTCTATTGCCACACTAAACATTGTGGTTGCTATAGGTGCAACCGTCTATTGCCACGATAAATGTTTGTTGCTATATCACATATTGCAACGCCAAATTATTATGTCGATAGTTCATATTGCAACGCCTTATTTGCTTCAAACAATAATTGCATGCCGAATAATATATGATGAAAGAAACATTTAGACATCCATTAATCCAAAATATGCTTTGTTCGTACAACTGAAAAACATAAGGTATCCGACTCATAGTAGCTAGTTTGAACACATCAAAATGTAATGAACTAGGTCTAGCACTGTAGCAAAGGTTGGCTTGGCATTGACCATCCCATCACTTGTGCGCTCCACTCAAACTCTATCTTGCTCCGACCAGTACTTGTACCTTCCGTTGTGGTAGCTACGAGTTGTGTTTGTGGCGGGCTACTATCTTGGTTTTCCTGCAAATCAATAGATGGAGGGAAAATTAGGCCCCATACTAAGGACTATCACATGACAACATTAAACACTCTTCAGTTCTCAAACTAGAAACATTGAGTTTGAGGACAAAAGAAATACAATGATCTCTACATTGTATGAGCAATATTGTGAACAAAATTTTAAGCATCTTGTACATGTTACGCTGCTACCTAGAAAACGATATACCACACTACTCAAGTGCATCTTGTACAAGTAACCTTATAACATGGCAGGTAACTATCCTTGGCACTTTTACCACTAAAGGCATGACAAAAAAATCCTCTTGAGTCCATAACAGTCACTCCACTATAGTTTTGTACAACACACTTTTGAGTCCATAACTTTGTCTAATACAAAAAAAATCCAAGATACCAACCTAGTAGCAGCACCATGCATGTAGCGTGGATGCAAAAAGAGTTGTGTGGTTCCCCACAATGGCTTGATATTGGTCTCATCCTACATTTAGTTCAGATGAAACAGAAAATTGAGCAAACAGAGAAATGCACTACACTTTCGTACAGCCCAAGTGCTAGCAACTTAGATTACACTAACCTGGAACATACCAATGTAGTTAGCTTCCACATCAACGATGCCTAGGATCAAGTAGTAGTACCATTTGATCTGCAGGAACAGAATGTGGAAAACATGTCAGGCTTTCCTTAGATAGTAGCATTCACATTACTGAATAATCACATAAACATTGTGGCGACGAAAGCCCAAATAACTTATAAAGAACAGAATAAGAATACGCATAAATACATTGGTGGCCATTGGTCCTAGTTAGCAGGGCACATACACTGAACGTGAATTGTATTGTACATGCATCAATCATACAAGAGAAACAGTACCACACAAACTTCTGGCCCATGAGAATAATTTAAAGGCTGGGCATGTGCTCAAACCCAAAAATAGCATCTCAACTTTTGATCATAACTTCTAAAGAGATTGCTCTCGTGTCCTGAAAACTAAAATAGCATCTCAACAGGTGATCATAACTTTTGAGACTGTATAATACTTCATTACTTCAGTCTGTTGTTTTTTTATTCTACTGTATGAATTGATGTGTAGTATAAGCAATAATAATAGTTCATGATTAGTATCTTTTAGAACGAACAAAATTTAAGATTAGCTTCAATTTCCCCAGTAACATTTCCATGTGATGGAAAAGCAGCATCCAGACATACCGTCATATGTTGCCTTTTGTATAGCAGTGTTCCACCATAAACAAGTGCAAGAAGGATGTAATTCAGCAATGACTGTGATGTAGGTGCATTGACACCTGAAAAAAGAAACCCTTATGATTCAGCATTATCTTCAGTATTTTTCAATCCACACAGTTCTCAACCATCTGTCATCTGAACATGGTCATACGATTTTGTTTTTTTTTCGGAACACGGAAAGAAATGGGACAAACATGGCAGTCCAAGCTACAGGAGCCAAATGACAGGTCTCAGCCTAACATGAAGAACCAGTAACCAAAATCACGGCACAATTGAAGACACGGCTAACTGGGAAAAAAAAAGGAATGCCTTTTATGTTCAAAACGATAATAAGATCCAGTATTTTTGCAGCAGTGCTAGTCCGCCAAGAAGTTCTACCCTAGGAAGGATACAGGTTGCAAAGCATCACCGGCATATGGGAACAGAAAAAGACAGGGGCGGCGCAGCGTACCTCGGCGTGCAAGCTCGGAGGAGGCGAAGCCGGTGGAGGTGATGAGCAGCGAGACGAACTGTCCCAGCGCCGCCATGTGTTAGAATAGAGAAGCAGAACCACAGATGGATTGATAACATTTGGTGTTGTAGAAAAACAATTGAGTGGCTATTGAGCAATACATATTTGCAGTCCCAGCCCTGCATCTCCTTAATTTAAAGCGGGGGTGCGGCCTGCTCCTTCCCGTGAAGTTTTTTAAAAAAAAAGTAATATGGCATTAAAATTCAGGAATGCCCCATTTCATTTTAGAAGACAAACCCTAAATCTGAAGTATGTGCATGTTCTGTTACTTCAAGCTTATCAAATGCATGTATTACTAAGAAAAGCTGTAGTGTAAGAAAATACTAAGTTACTAGTAATTAAAGATATCAAAATAAAATTCAGATTCCACACTGGAAGTTGCAGTAATAAACACACCCACCCACCATAATTTTCTTTGACAACACATTCCATTACTAGGCATACTCCTCGTGAGTTTCATAGTTGCTAAGAGTACTTCAGATCCTGCCATCCAAAGGAGATAAGCAATACATGACTTAAAGGAATATTGCTTGAACAGACTTCACACATAGACACAGATTCAATAGCAAAATGCACACAAGGACTTAAAGACTAAGATAGTGTCACCTCTATAGAATGTGTTGACATTTTGTAGAGACTACAGTATTCTAATTTAGTATACAAGCTGACACGAATTCTTTGTATAGTACACTGCCGTGGCACTATATTTAAGATTAGCACAAACTTCAAAAAGCAAATAAAAGAAAATACAGAAAACAAACAAATGCAAAATTAAGTACTCACAGCTCTTGTAGGGACTATGCACTGGTAGTCATCTAACTCAGGGAGATGAAAACACTTGGGGTTGATGGTCCAACAGAACATACCACAACCAGGCTTAAAGGGGTTCTCCCCAATCCAAACCTCATCAGGGTACTCAGTTACCGGCACACTCTGTCAGTACTACCATTCCAGTTAAGACCACCTTCCCTCAAGAGCAGCATGCAGAGGAAAAAGAATTAATGGCATCAATCAGATATAGCAGGAATTCAATTAGGCAAAATAATACAAACAACATACTAGCTAGAATACATAAATGTGATGGACATAGGATCGATGATATGGTAGAGAAAACTTGATAGGAACAGCTAGCAGCAGACCTTGTAGTCTCTGAATTATAGCTTTCAGAAACTTACCACTGCAAACTTAGTTCATCAATGGCACAATGGAACCCCTACTAGACTATGAATCTGAGAGACCAATGGAGCCCACAAAAGAAGGATGCAAGGTAAAAATACTGCCCAAAAACATACCAGAGCAATTTGCAAGCGAATGGTTTAGTAGAAGCCCAATCCCACATGGCTACGCACAGAATCAGACGATACCAATTTGCACATGGATCTGAGAACAGCTCGGAGGGGATGGAAGAATCTCTCGGATCCGACGATGCGCCAGGCAGGACCGCAGGATGACGACGGGTCCGGAGTGGCGGCGGATCTCCGGAGAGGAAGGCGCGCGCGGGGGCGAGGGTGGCCGGCGGGGGGGCTGGCGGCGCCACGACAATGGGTGGCTGGCGACGCACGCGGGGGCGAGGGTGGCTGGCGGGGGGGGGTGCTGGCGGCGCTGCGACGATGGGCGGCCGGCGGCGCGCGCGAGCGCCGCCCACGGGCGAGGGAGCACGGGCAGTGGGCGGGGGCGGGGGGCACTGGTGGCGCCGCGAGGGGTACGGCCAGGGGACGGATAGGTAGGGTTGAAAGTGGAGGAGCTGGGCCTTAGAATGGTTTTGTAGATCTATTTTATGCTAGTTGAGATCTTGGTCGTTGTTTTGTAGATGAACGGTTATGAGGAGCTGGGCCTTAGAAGAAACGTCTCACGACAGGATATTTCAGCCCGTTTAATAAAATCAATCAACATGTTTATTGTTTAAACAGAAATACATTTAAATTAAAAAAATTCTTATGAGGAGCAAAATTTCCAAGCAGGAGCAAAATTTTAATTTTGTTGAGAATTTGAATTTAATGAAATGTATTATATCCATGAACTTTCCACATTGTATGAAATGTAATTAAATATCATGGTTTGTATACATGGTTTAACTTTCCCATGTACTCTTAGTTTTGAATTTTCTTTTGCCAGACCTATGATGGGAGAAATTTTCATTTGGATGGAATCGCATTATATTTGAACATTGACAGTGCATGTTACATGCTATGTTTTGAGATTGATGTTGACAATGGCTATCTAGGTGACACTAATTCGGAATAAGTGACATAGATGTGCTCATCCGGAAAACTACAATGCAAGTATCACAAATGAACGCGATTTGTACCATGAGGGTGCGATCAGAACCACTGGATCGGTGATAGACCGCCAGAAATAGTTGGGCCATTTGGGCTAAAATGGGCTTGGTTCATTCTTTCTCTACTTAATGTTTTTCTTTTTCTTTTTTCATTTTATTGCACCATTGCTAGGGATAATTCAAACTTCTAGTTGCAACCTTATTATAAAATAATGGTAATAATATCTAAAACTTCTCTGAAAAATCTGAAAATTGCCATACAATCAATTTATTAACGTATAAGCTTGACATAAAAGTTTCATAAGATTTTACAAAAATTAGAGTGTACGTTGTTCACAAAATGGATAGACCTCTCACATTGTTTCATACAACTCAAGTCCAACTTTAAGATTTGAATACCTTGTAATATGTTCGAACTCGTACGCACCTCAAAATTGGACACAACCTTACCTTTACCATGCTGTTGATATTTGTGGATTTACATTGCCACTTGTTGTGCAAAAAAGTTATTTTTCTATTTTTTAACTAACTAATTAATACACCCTTGTGAAGTAACTTGCAAAATAATTATTTTATATACCCCTAATTACATTTTTACATGTAATAGACAACATTTAAGTTGTCATGTAGGAGTTTCAAGAATTTTTTTAACAGATTTAGTATTTTCTATCATTTAAATGAATTTCTACATGCTTATCGAAAGTAATTCCAAGTTGAACTATGTGTACCTCCAACGCGGTAGCGTGCTCGAGCGGCGATGAGCGTGGACGGCGTGGTCGGGCGCTGGCGGCGAGTTGTTGGCGCGGCATGGTGGCGTCGAGGCGCGTCGGGCGCGGTGACGGCGGCCAGATGGTAATATAAAGGCTGCTTAATGTCGAACACACCTTAGTACCCCAATGGTAGATGAGGGTTTACTTGTACTTTAGTTCCTGGGATCAATTCCTCCGAGGAGCATTTTTTTTTGTTAATAGAATATTTTTTTGTCTATTGCAACCATTTTTGGTATATTGCACACTTTTAGGCCGTTGCATTAGGGGTAGTCTACTGCGTGGAGCATTTTGTCTATTACAACCATTTTTGGTACATTGTAACACTTTTAGGCTATTGCATCAGAGCGGGTCCCACTGGCTAGATTCCCGCGCAGCCAGTATTTGCTCCCGTGCAGGTGTGAATGAAATGGTGCGGTGAGCGGCGCAGGCCGCGGGGCTGGTGACGTGGTCCGGCCAGTCCTATGGCTCCACGTCGGTACGGTGGGCCCCGTGGTCAGCGACGAAGACAGAACCGCTTGCCACGCATGTCATCACGTGTTTGTTCTTTTTCTTTTTTTCCTTCTAGAATTTTTATGAACTTCTACAATTTTGAAATAGTAGATAATTTTTAATGGAAAAGTCGTCAAAATAAAAGTTGTAGAACCCACTGAGATCTACAATTTCGGTTTTGGTCCTTTCTCCATCCGACTTTGTTTCAACAATTCAAAATTTATATTTTAAAATATAAGAATTCAAATAGAATTTTGGAATAGTAAATGATTTCAAATGAAAATGTTATCAACAACAAAGTTGTAGAAATCATAAAGATTTACAACTTTTATTTTGGTCATTTCTTTATCCGACTTTGTTTGAATAATTCAAAATTTGAATTTTACAACATGAGAGCTTCAAACATATTTTTGGGACAGTTAATGATTTCAAATGAAAAAGTCGTCAACAACAAAGTTGTACAACCCAACGTGATCTACAACTCTTGTATTGGTAATTTCTCCATCCGACCAAATGGTAGTATACATTGTTCACAATTGGGTACATCTTTCATATTAATCACTTATAACTATGTGAGAGATGTATCAATTTGTGAACAATGTCTATTGCCACCTTGTTAAAATCATTTGAATTTTTTATATGATGATTAGATAACAAAAACATGTTACCATGCAAAATTGTAGAATTTTCTGACAAAATTTAGAATTATTACAATTATGTTATCTTAATTTAGGAATAGAAGGATGAATTATCCCTAGCAAACAAATGTTTTTTCCCAAACAACTCTGGGATATGGGATAGAGTGAAATGTATGACTATAAATATGTTCTTTGTAAATTTTGTTGACTCTTATTGGAGGTACGCACAGTTCAATTTGGAATTACTTTCGGTAAGCACATAGAAATTTATTTAAAAGATAGAAAATATCAAATGAGTTCCAATTTTTTTGAAACTCCTACACAACAACATATACGTAGGCTATTGCTTGTTAAAAAAGTTTTAGAAATACCAACTATTAAGAATAGAAATACCAACTATTCATGTGTTCTTCATTCCAAATCAGTTCATCTAACTGGACGGAATTAGTACTTGGAAGAAAATTCCCCCAACTTGGCACAAACACTTGTTGTAGCCTGGTGGTTAGACTTCCTTGGTTCCTTGTCGAGGTCCTGGGTTTGAGTCTCAACTAAGGAATAAATTTTTTCCGATTTAATTTCTCTATTCTCTCACTGACATGTTAAGAATAATGTATGCCAAAGCAAGTCACAAACAACGAAGTGGTGTGGTGGTGCGGTGCGCTTGGCTTTAGTCCGAGGTCTTGGGTTCAATTCCCTTTTCCAGCATCTTTTTTTTGCCCTTTTCACGTCAATTCCCTTGGCAGATGGGCTCCAGCTTGCAGCTGGCGCCAGCAGGCCTGCTTGGACCAGGCGCAAGCGTGCAGCCTAGCCCATATTTTTTTGGTTTTGAATTTCAAATGAT